ACATATATATATGGCTACCTATTCTCTGTCTATTTGGAAAAGGGAGGCTTATTTGGAATGGTGATGTCTACATTCTTTTTAAATTTTACTGGCAAACTTTTTTTTTTCTGTGAGCTCATTTTTATTAAGGTAAAGTCATTTTCAACTAACATCAACCATTCATGATATCAATATCTTTCCTCAAAACTTTCCCAAAGATAGTAATTAGTTAAGTACAGATTCTAACACACAGGTGATAGTTCTGCCCAGTGTTTTTCTAACTTATCATATGGCTATTTTTTCCGCTTTTTCCTACTACCTTTTCTAATAGCTTCACTACTCATTACTCAATTGGAAATCTATATATGTGGTGAGAGTGGTGGAAGTAATCTACATCTGGCATAATTTTCCTATTTGGTAAATAAAGTGCTATTAGATAGCAGATAGCCATGAAATTCATATACTTTTGGTCATAGTTCTCCAGAAGAGCTACAGGCTGTCTTCTAGCTCAAGACCTCAGATTAATTTCAGACATGTGTCAAGATTTTCTGCACTTCTCTTGCATGAACATCTACCCACACAAAATATTCTAAATAGGTGATTAAGCCACCAAAGCCAAATCACTTAGTCATGTCTGAGGTCTCTGCTATAGTGTATTAGTTAAAATACTGTGAGCTATAGCAAGTCTTATGGGCAAAGCACAACATGAACCAAGTGAAGTCATACATAACACCTAGTCCTGTGTACTGCATGGGTGACTTTGTAGAATCAGACAGTGATGGACTAATAAAGAAACATTTATCCATCCTTCTACTTAGAACCTGTCTTTCATTTACCGAATTAATTCTACAATAATCAGAAATTTAGCTATAATAATCTAAAAGGAGGTAATGTGATCTATGATATAAACACATACATATACATACACTGGTCTCTTGTGACCTCCTACTCTTCCTATTTACATGATAATATAAAAGCAAAATATGCATATATTCAAATTATCTATATTATAAATAATTTATCCAATTCCTTTAAGTAGTAAATTCCAAAAAACTGAAGCCTTTAATTAAAATACTTGATCATCAATACCTACCTGGCAAGACAGATACCGTGATCACGAAAGTGATTTTCCCAGGGCAAGACTTATCTATAGCACTTGGTTGTGCTGACTCTTGCGATATCGCCAAATGTGGGAAACTCGACTGCAAAATTTGTGGTAGTGGGGGACTGCATTTGCACTCTCCCCCGTAAAACAATAGGAATATAATAAAAATAAAAAATAAAGCGCTTGATGTATCATTACAAACCTATTTATTCATAAAATATTTCATGATCTTATACCATACACTATGGGAGAAAAACCAATTTACCTTTTTCATTCATTTTATTATGGTGATTATTAAGTGAGTACATTAGCTCACTAGGTATTCTGTAAGTAATTTTTCAAAAGTTTGTCACATCATTTACATAGATATATTTCTTATATAGGTATACTTGAACTTATCAAGTTTTTGAGTTATATTTAGTTGAATCCAATTATGGATTCTCAATCTCAGTCACAGAAAAGATGTATAAAATCTTTGATATATAGATATATAAAGACGTTAACATGAATTCAGCAAGCATAGAATTAATAGAGACTAAGCTCGGGTCATTATACTATGAACCTCCAGGGAAGATGATACATTTTATTATAAATTACCCCGAAATTCTTAAAGTAGAGTGTTTTTGTTTTAAGTTTGTCTCACTTAGATGTAAATGGAAATATAAAAAGAAATGAAATTTGGAGTAATAAGGTGATTAGGTTTTCTACCTGAATTGTCAATCTTTTGTAGAAATTTAAGGTCAGAATTATATGTCTTATTTGATTTTTAATCATAGGCAATTTTAAAGAGAGAAGAGGTTAAATCTTTAACTGACAGTTTCCCAAAATTCTGAAGGTAACTTAACCACAAGATTACTTTTTTCCTGGAACATGGAAACCCTGCTCTTGGATGTGATTTTCTGAAGAAAAGCAATTTCGAAGGCCAAGCTGGCTACAGTAATGACAGGATTGCCTGCACTACAGCCTGCTTCGTCCAGCCAGTTGCTCTGCATTCTTCATATTATAAAGTGGTTGAAAGTTGAAGATGACCAGGACTTTTGTAGTATGAAAAACATAGCTTCTAGCCAACACCTAAGAGTACTATCCATGTGAGAGGCAACATAAGACACTGGTGATAAATAGTCCAAATGAACAGTAGCCCTTAGACTGTCTTCTACAGCAGCAGCTTTCTTTTGAATGACTGTTTTTTGTTTTTTTGGGGGGGGTGTTTTGTTTTTTTTTGTGAGACTGTGTATACATTGCTATATGAGAGCATGCTATTGGGTTGAAATAAGGAAAATATATCATTTATGTCTGTCTCTAGTTTGATGAAAGCACGATACTTGCACAAGCATATATTTGTTCAGACAGTAGCTCTGTTTGCTATTATCAACACACATTCTTCCTATTCATGAGCAAGCCATAAATAGATAAGTTTACATAAAGAATAACACTGAACTACTTTATTTCAAACATCGTTGAATAATATTTACTCTAATCATCTCCCTAAGCTTGTTATAGTGATGAAGATATCTGAAGATTCAGTGTTAATATAAAGGAGATGCTGTGCCAGTTTTGCCATTAAGATGTTCAACATTTTACAATAAAGTAATTGGACAGTGGAGACTCTAAAGAATATGAAAAAAATCATTTGGGTTACCTACAGTCCTGATTTTATACTGGAGAAGCTAAAGATTGTTTAACTTCAAGAAACATAAGACAGAACATCTGAGCAAGATCAGGCATACTATTATTGAATTCCATTCCCTAATTTATATTATTAAGCTCTTTAGTTCACTTTCATCTTAAAAATTGTTAAATCACTACCAGCCAATCTCTGTCTGTCTTTTCTAGATATTTCTAAACATACTTAATATTTTTTAGCTATCATTTGTATGCATGTTGAAAAGTTGGAGTTCCAGTTTTTCTTGGATCCAATATGTACATATTGTTGATATTTAAACATGAAGGAGGAAAAAGCATCTTTTTAAAAAATATATTTATTTAATAACCACATAATTAGAAGAAGCATTTCACTACAACAGCATTGACATACTCAATAACAATTTCCAGAGCTAAGATGCAACTCTTTCAAAATTGGCTGTAAATTTTCAGGTTTACAGTTGAATTAATACAGTTATACAATATGGTACTCAGTATAAACTCTATAAAACATAAAATTAGATGAGGTTTTAACCTTTAAAAAAGAGCTCCATTTCGTGATTAAAATACACAGTTTCATACAGAAAAATTCATTTTTAATGCAATTAACACTAAGATGTTTGCACATGTGCTTCTAATCTCTATATATCTGATTATTACTAGTCACAGTCGATTACTTTCTCCTTGGCACAACCTGAGTATAGATATAAAGTCATAAGGTAGATTTCAATGGTAATGTTTATCACCTGTACTAATTAACATGAAGTAAATTTTTATGCTTCCTCCTCAAACATAGCTCATTTTTTGTTGATTTGTGTTTGTGTGTGTGTGTGTGTGTATGTGTGTGTGTGTGTGTATCAAACAGAACATCAGAAACAATCTTATTCATCTATATACCCACTTCCCACATGGCACCCTCCCATAGCCTCCCCCTGCCCTCTACAGGAGCCCATATACTCTGTCATCCCTGTAACTGTCTACTGTGTTGTCAGCACCCCAGCCATTCCCCAGTTCTTGATCTGCTGAATCTTGTGAGCCTTTCTAGAGATCCTTGTTTTAGTAAGATAAGCTTTTCCTCAACTAGCAGCAATCAGTTGTGAATATTCCCTTAGATAACATTGGGGTCTGCTGTTCATTTTCCCAGTTCTATGCTGGGTTACTGTCTAG